TTGTGTAGTTAATAAATACTGGTATAAATACCTATCTGCATCTAAATACGTCCTGTGTTGATACTTATTACCTGCGATCTAAGTTGAGATTAAAATAATTGATATATAAACTTATTCAAACGATAAATTAATAATCTAAGTGTATTGACAAGGAAGTATATTGTTTGAGGAAATCGGCAAGCCAGAAAAATTTGACAGCACAATTTAAAAGTGACACGGCCAAAAAATTACTGAATATCAACTGAACGATTGGGTAAAAACAAATATTATACAGACTAGACAATGGGTACTTTCATTGATTGCAAAACTGAATTCGAAGGCACCTACGTACAAATCTAGGAAGGACAATATTACAGAAGAGCAACTTTCAACTAGTTACATAGAAAAGACGAATTCCTCAATTTTGGAACACATGCACTTTATGTGATTTGATATTAAATTAATAACGTTAAACATTCATAAATAATCACAATTTCTCCGATTTAGCAGACAGTAGGATATAATTAACATAATGTAATAAAAATGTCACTGTCAATGACAATGAATAAGAAATGTCAATACGCTACAGCCAATGTTAAACGGCCCATTCACTACCTGCATGGCAGTCCGCCGCGCAGGCAGGAGACTGCTCACACACTATCCTGCGTATGGCCCATGTATGTAGTCTCGCAGGACAGCAAGGTAGCCCGCAATGCAGGATAATGAATGCCCCCTTTTACAATGACCGTAGCACATACAATGTGTGAAAAACCTCCCCGAACAAATTTTCGAGCGGGTCCTGTTGGAATCGTCTTGTTGCGAGACTTTTCATATTTTTATGTTTTTTTGATAAATTTTTCCAAACTCGCTCCAGTCCATTTAAAGTCCAGATCCATCCCTCTTGCGATGGCGGTGCTCTTTTGCTCCCCACAAACTTTAAATTATTGAAAAAATCTTTCATTTTTTGAAAGTGCACAAGGTGCTGTGTGTTGTTTTTTAAATTAGTTGAAAGTGGTTTGCCACTCCTTAGGTCGGGTGTGAATGCATTTACACAATCAAATAGTTTATCCATATCGGATATTACATTGGCTGTAACAGCAGCGTCGGCAGGCAGTTCTCCTGAAATTGATTGAAGGCAGTTTGTAGTATAAAAAACAAAGAATCGTAATTGATGATTTAATGACTTATCGTCAGGGATAGTGCAAAGCCGCGTAAGAAGCATTGGTAAAAGGCGCGTATTTACACAATACCATATTAAAAAAATAAAAATAAAGTGAAAGTTACTCCCATACCTTGTGATATTTTTGCGCACATTCCAGCAGCAACAGAGTGACTCAATACTTGTGCTGCGAGTTTAACTTTCATTTTTCTTTACAGTTAGGGTCCAAATGCTCATGTCTTGGACACGGTGCAAAGACAAAGTTTGGATTAGTACTATCCAAGTCATAAAAGTTTTTTATGTGGGCCCATTTTGCAATTCCTGAAATATAAACATGGTCAAATGAGAGGTAAATAAGGAAGTTTTATGTATGCATTAAAATTTTTAAGCACTTATCAATGAGAAACTTTACAAAAATATTCAATGAAAGAAATAAATAGACATAGGTATATATAGACATAGATATAGAAATAGGGTATCAGCGATTTTTTGTATGTACAAGCAAGTTTTAACGGATTTTTCATTGTACGGGTTCCGCACAAAGTGAAACTACCAGAATTCAGATAGTATCATAACAAATGGTTGACTGGTAGAGAATGCTTTTAGCATTAAGTCTGGCTTTTGTACCATTATGTGTTGTGGTCAATAAAGTTTAACAAAAAAAAAAATAAGTAAATAAAATGTGAAATACAATAAAACTGCTTACCAATTCCAGTTTTGCCATCCGATGTTATATTTCTTTGACATTCAATATCATGTGCTTTAGAAACAAGTTTCTGAAACATTTCAGAAGATGGGGGGTGTCGAAAAGTGTAACTGCTCCTTGATTGCCAACTATAGTGACAGGTTGCTGTACACTTACTCCCGAGATACCTAAGGCTCTTTTATTTACTCCATCCATGTCACAAACTGTTGCAGCAATGTTCAGCCCCGCATCAAAGCAGTTTAAAAGGACCTGAAATTAAATTTAAATTTGAAAAATAAATCTTGCGTGCCTATACTAACATGGAAATGATGGAGAACAACATTAAAAGGGACCTGGCATCTGAGAAATACTATTAAAAATTGGAAAGACAAGTGCAAATACACCAATCCGCGTCGGTTTTGCATAGTAGATTTAATGAAACGCAATCACAAGTTAAACCCAAACAGTGGAAACATAATATTATAGGCTTATAAAATTATCAAGATGAATTATTATTTGAATGAATAATGTTTACCTCCTTTATGAGCACCACCAGTCTGTTTGCTGTCACAGACCCCGCAGAGAGGTGGAATGCTATTGGCTGCTTAACCATTTTTCTAACCCCTGCGATCATAAACACTAGAGCATATTGCAGGACATCTCCCATGAGCGGCATGGTCTTGATAGTCTTGTATCAAATCTAGTTTTGCATTGTAATGCAGATTTTTCTTTATTGACATTTCATCCCACATCAACACATATTCGTTATCAGATCTCTTCTCATTTTGTATACTTTTCTGTTTTAAAATGTCAAATATTTGTCTATTTATACCGACACCCATCTTAAATTTATTCAATAAACATTGTAATGTACTGGGTGCAGGTAGGCTAATCATCCTCCTTAGCAGTCTGTAACATGTTGGTGAGCGCTTGTATAGTCTCAAAGCTATAATTTTCGAGTCCGTATCCCATCTCCGGGCCTTTGCATCTTTTTTATAATTTTTTATTTCTCCTTGTAAAAATAATGCCATTGTGGGTGAAATTTTGGCATTCAAAATTCTATTAAAGGACTCATTATTTACAATTTCTTTCATGAAAGATTTGTTTTTCATGTTTTTAATTTTTTTTTTTTGTTATCTATAGACTTTTTTCAAATTATTTTTATACTTCTTCAAAACTTTCGTCCTTTTATTGTTTGGGTTTTCTTGATTTACTTCAACTTCACTCTCTTTGTTGTCATTTTGTGTTCTGGCTATTGCCTGGTCAACATTGATCAGGTTTAAATTTTCCAATAGAGGTTTGGATGGACCTGATCTAGTTCCATGCCATTGACTTACAATTATATGGACATCGGGTCCGCGCTAAAAAGTGTCCGCACTTGTAAGGCGCTAAAATCGTATACGGAGCGCCAAACTCCGCTTTAGTCTTCATTTGTTCGACTGACAGCGCGATACTGCGATGACATTACAATTTAAATTTCGAATAGGTTGACTTGGGACATTTTTTTCGTGGTTTTTGTATTAGACCCGTCGTCCATTTATTTGTAAGTCAATGTTCCATGCAGTATTTGTTGCTCCACCCAGAACTTCGATAATCTGAAAAATGCATCAAGTTATAAAATTATTATATAACTTTGTATCAAACTAGCTTCAAAATTGGAATACACAATGGGTTCGTATAATATTACTAATTTAAAAACACCTTGACCATTATTTGTGGTGATAATTTACTAACCTTATCACATTCTTCATATGGAAATGCAGATTTAACCATTTTTTCACCTACAATATCATAAAATATTTCTTATTGAAATGTTTCGTGCACATTCTGTGTTCAGAGTACAGCTTGGTCTGGAACTCTGGTGAATACCATAGGCCTTGTGGAAAACAATACTTAGCCCACAATTCACATCTGAAATTGAGAACAGTGTCATGTAATTTCCGCAAAATAACCGGCACCCAGTGCGACCTTCCTTGAACATTTTAATCACATTCTATAGTACTTACTTAAGGCTATTTGTTCTTCCAGGCTTCGGAAAGCGGTGCAAAATAGTGTTACTATTTTCTGTAGGAGAAACGTCACATTTTAAACACTTCCTTGCGTTTTCTTTCATATTGTAAGAAAGAAAAGAGTCACTATCTTAATAATGGAGTCCCGTCTCACAGTTCACGACACTGGGCTCACCGAAACACAAACGGAGGAGCAAGAAGCTCAACTCAACGTTACGCAACGGGAAACCGAGAATAAGTTTATAAAATAGAGAATTTACAAGACAAACAACAACGTGCGCAAGCGACGACGGCCATCTTGTGGAAAAAAAATAGGGATGCACATAACGATTAAATTTTTATGAAAATCGATTCATGTGTATACGTCATAGCTATTTTTTGTATCGATTCATGCTATTTTTAAGCAAATCGATTCAACATTAAGGCGAATCGAAACGTCTGGATTGTATTTATAATTTAAACAAAATAGTATCTTTCCGAACCACTAACCACTATATAGTAAGTCTAATCCGATTTTATATTGATCTGCGAGAAAAGTAGTTTGGCAACATCCAAGTGTACAATGAATAACGACTATATTACTTACGCTGTATTATAGACAAGAACATTCACAGAAAGTATACGTTGCACAGAAGACACTATTAATAGCAATAGGTTCGTAATCTACTATGATGACAATAGTGTTTTCCTTTATTTTATTTTTCTTCACAGTGTTAGTACCGCAGTATTGTGGATTGACGCGATAGTTTATACCTATCTATTGGGAATGACCTGCAGGCAAATAATATTGAATGTTGACCAATGATATTTATCTATAGTTTTTTGAATTAATGGAAAGCTCCTGGCGAAGTTGCTATTAGTTGCACAATATATTTCGTTTAGCTTTGATCTCGCTCGTTATAGTGTCAAGCAAGAGTTTTTGTTTTTTTTTAGGATTGCCCTTGACCATGGTCTTTGACAATGTGGTAAGTGTAGATGTGTTTACTATAAAATATCAGTTGGCAGTTTTCAGTTTAATAAATAAACAATTTATTTATGTATTATCACAAGGTACATCAACAGGAAAATAATATGTATTAATACATTCATACAACCTATTCGGTAACATTCTGGTTAGTTTTTTATTAATTTACATATTATGTAATGATGAATTTTTTAAATAGATATTTTCGTCTTGTTGTTCGTTTCCATTCTGACATTATAATCCATTTTAATATAATTACATAAATATCTAATTAATTCATTTTCAGTTTGGTGTGTCTATAATACTTAATCCATGATTTATGATTTGATTATGTTTTGCCTCGTTTTTACGCGCGTCACTCGATACTTGAGGAAACGAGATGGAAATTGTTTAACATGTGGTATTTTACTAATTATCACGCCATTACCAATTAAGTAAAGTTCTATCTCGTACTCTATATAAGGTACGGGGTTACTAAATATCAGTATATATTATTATGATATATTATGTTCATATATTATTATGGTTCTATACGAAATAATTAAAATATACGACAACAATCGATTCAAAGTGTAAAATCGTACATCTCTAGTAAAAGTTCATCAGTGTTGCCAAATTGACCGATTATAATGATTAAACAGATCCTTCACGATAAATTTATAAAATATATCAAATTTATTAAATAAATTACCTTGTACTTTATGGTAAATTTATAAAATATATTAAATTATCAAAAGAAATAACTTTTGTATTTGAAATGTAATAAAATAAAAAACATGTCAGAATTTATGTAGGTGAGATTGAATATACTTTCTACCTAGTAACACTGTTCGCTATCTCGCTTCGATTTTCATTCGCTATCTCGTTTTGATATTGCCCCATGTAGGTATTCCCAGCGGCTCAGCCAATGTCGGCAGGGCCTGGTTGTCCCACTGAACGCCTTCCAGTTCGTGGTCTCCATTCGAGAACCTTTCTGCCCCAACGGCCGTCAGATCTACGAGCTATGTGCCCTCGCCACTGCCACTTCAACTTGCTAATCCTTTGGGCTATGTCAGTGACTTTCGTTCTTCTACGGATCTCCTCATTTCTGATCCGATCACGCATAGTAATATGGCAATGATAATTTGAAATACATGATACGTTTCTATTGTACAATTTAGATATCAATTAGATAATTGACGACCTCAATGGCCCTATGTTTGCGCTATGGACGCTGAATGAGGAGGTCCCGGATTCGATTCCCGGTAGGAGCAATTTGGGACAATAACGTTTCTAATTTTGAGTCTGCGAGTTCTGGATATCACCTGGAGTGAATTCCAGAAATTTCAGACCAGGCAATGAGAGTTGTCTGGTACATTATTATTATTTATTATTAACAGTGAACCCACCTTTCATTTCATATTCATATTCTTTATTTGCAAGTTACATGGTTATATAACAGGTGTTCTTATGCTAATGGCACTGGACGTGTAACACCCCGTGGGGGCTCTACAACATTCTGAGGGCACTATGTCTATACTTTAAATAAAATTAGGAAAGATTAATAATAAATCAGTACAAAGTACTAAAAAACCGACCTCAAAAGTACGCGGAATTACATCTATTTGCCAAGTTTGAAATATCCCCTAGTTCGCTACTATGCAGGACTTGACACAGCAGATAATAAAAATCGGTTCTCACAACTCAAAGTATAGTGAGAGAAAAACGCCTTGAATTGGAGAATAGCAAAACCAACCATTCAAATAATTACTCCTTAAAGAAAATTTAGGCGCTATTTATAAAAATGAATGTACATAGGGGTGAATGATTTTCTTCAAAATGAAATGGGACCACTATGGAGGTACTCTCTTTCCAACAAAAAAAGAATCATGAAAATCGGTTCACAAATACCGGAGTTATCGCGTAACATACATACAAAAAAAACATGTACATACAACAGTCGAATTGAGAACGTCCTCCTTTTTTTGAAGTCAGTTAAAAAATTAAACAGAATTTTAGGCAATATCAACAATAAATATTAGTAATTTTTTTTACATTCAGGTCTCATTCCTGATACACTTATGTCTGGCTATTTGACATACTGTTACAAATTATATACTTGGTAATTCCTTTTTAAGCACTATTTTCTAAAAAATATTATTTTAATGATTAAAAAGCTTTACGTTGTATATAGCTCTTTAGATTTGTTACAAAGGCCATATGTGTATCTTGTGTTTTTATATTTATTGGGATCGCATTATATATTTTAATTACCATACAGTGGGGCCCTGAATGATATATACCTAAAGTACTGAAGGGACGCTTCAACATGTGTAGACCTCTATTGTTACGTTTCAGAGTCTTTACAGGTGAGAAAAGATGATGGTATTTCTTTACAAATTTACTACACTCAAAAAGCACCTCATTATATTAACTACAAATTTAATCGTAGACATTAAAGATTCCCAAGCAAATTGTCAGTAGACATGACCTTTTCTAACAAAGTATGTCTATATTCAAGTTAGACGTGACCTTGCGCCACACGACTGACCTTAGAAACCTCGAAATTGTGATAATCAATTGAATAAATAAGTACGCGATCACTTTGTTACTTATGGAAATGCATATTTATTTTGAGCTAACATGGACAAGAAACACCAAAAATAAATAAGTTAAAGGAGATGAAGGAGGCGACGTGTACTTTAATAAAAACCTAGTTCTTATAGTACAGAAGAAGACTAAACGAAATTTTGAATGAAAATTTTTATGCATTAGTTCAATATCGAAAACGAGCTCGTAATCTGTAGATTTTGGCAAAACATCTCCTGATGCGTACTTATTAAGGTTCAACAAAAACAAAAATTTCGCATTTGTAAACATATTTATTAAATATTGCTTTGTGACCCAATCAATAATTATGGCATGACTGAGGTCAAAAAATATACGTGTCCGCCATTTTTTTTCCTTTCCCTCCAACAACTCACATGCGACCTCAGTTCGAATTTCCAAGAAAATCGTTTCATGGTTCTTTTATTCATGATTAACAATAAAAGTTGTAAATTGTCATAATTTTAAAATGTTACATTTTATACTACTCTATGATTTCAGAAAAATGAAGCGGTTGAATGGATGTAGTACATTGCTTTAGGGTACAGACTATTCAAAAACAGCCGAGATCTATTTTGTGTATACGTATTTACGGCGAATTTTAGTTTCTTTCGAAAGTATATATATTTTTTGCAAATTTTATGACATTGACATTTCTGAAATTATTTAACATTATACTTACACTTTAAAAAAAGCTAAGAATTTTAAATTGAGTATTTCTTTCGTTAAAACTTTACTTTCATAAATTCTCAAGTACAAATCCGCTAACCCATTGTTTATGACAGTTTACCTACTTAGTTAAAAGACATTAAGCTATGAAATGGCCTAATTCGTAAACCATAATGGCGTAATGCGACCGCATAGTGGCGCGGAATGGGGCCGGGCTGCGCTTGCGCTGCGGTCATTCAAATGTGTTGGGAATGTCGTTAAAGATTCATATAGTTATAGTCTATATAACATTATTTGTCTATTGATAGATTTATTCCCATTAGTACTACATAATATAGGTATGTAATTTTTATAAAAAGTAAAAAAGTCGTGATTGAAACATTCAGTGGTCAAACCTGGCAGTTACTTTTGCAAAAGAATAAGCAGAACAATTTAAAGTGGAAACGTTGCCAGCCTTGCATGACGCATAGTATCACTAGAGCTCCTTGGGTAAGAGTTCGTCCAAGGAAGTATTGCCACCTTACTTATTTCTACGCCAAGCAGTAATGTGAGCATTACTGAAGGGTGCTGGTGAAATTACAGGCACATATGACTTAATCCATGCCAGGCGTGTAGATTAACACCAGGCATACGACTTGTTCATCCCGTCACTTGATATAAAAAATAATTACTTCTATAATTTCTTTTTCTACAAAAATTAGGCCATTGTAATCTTTTTTGTTTTCCTCTACAATACTTCCTTTATTTGATGCCTTGTAAATATATTAGCAAGTTCGTTAAATTATTCAGTATACAGGTGTGAAAATAAATGAACTATAAGCGACTGTCGGTCGCAAGGTGGGTATATTTGCTTTTGTAAGCCGTCACTTGCACCCAGTAAATTTAAAATACAAAAAGGGTGTTTTAATTGCCTATTACTTACCTATGACCAGCACACGTCTTAAATTGTGTGATTGGTTGTGGATTTAATTATTTACGACTGAATTACGTTGCCTTACCTTCGAAGAGTTCGTGGAATTCTCTCTGATTGAGACCAAACGGCATTCTTACGAACGTCGGGGACAGTTTGCCAAATCAGACTTCAGCATTGGAGGT